TCTTCCTTCCAAGGAGTGGCTGGTGGGTTTGAACCACCAGGGTTCTGGTTAGTAGTCAAATGCCTTAGGCACTATGCCACCAGAGCTCCCATTTAGTGAAATAGAGAAGGCAATAAATTATGGAATCAGGAGGAGGATGCCTGTCTCCTGACCAGATAGCAGTCTCTACAGTTCTCCTCTGTGCCTTACCTCAGGTAGGTTGCTGTACAAGGTCGTGGGACTTTGACTAAACCCATTTGGCTTTTCTAATACCACCTATTCAAAGAAAAAGAAGTTTGGTAGTTAACACAGTCCCAAGCAACCAAAAATCCAAAACATTATTCACCCAAGACCTCAAATCTTACAAGGAAAGGGAGAGATGGAGGGAAGGAAGAACAAAAAGAAAGATTAACTTCCAGTGCTCCATGGGAAATACAAAGAAGAGAGGGTGGAGAAGTGGATGAGGACTTGAGAGGGACTACCCCAGCCTTGTAGGGAGGCCAAGGAAACCTAAGGCTAAAACCTTTCAGCAGTTTGGAAAATGCAGGGGCTCTGTTCCTTGTGGCCCAGGAAATACAAGCAGCTGCTCGCCAGAAACAGAAATGGTTTTCCTTGCTCCCAGGGATCCTAACAAGGCTTGACAAAGCATAAATTAAAAAGGGAAGTAGCATTTGTTAAAACTTTTTCCAACCCAAAGCCTGATTATTCATCTTATGACAGCTGGTTTGTGCCAAACAAAGGGCCTGGCCTTTTGGGAGTGTTTGAAAAAGTTAGGTTCTTACTGCCACCTGACAAAGCACCTCCCACCAGCTAGATGTGAGTTCAAGCAGCAAAATGAATTAAGAGAATGTCTTTCACAGAAGCCTAGAACAGGCTGAAGCCAAAGAGGAACTTTCTGGGCACCAGCTGCTGGGCCACTGCTCCCATCAGAGTAACAGGGGCAGGGGCTGCTGGAGAAGGACCATCTTACCTAAACCAAAATGCAAATGAAGGAGTATAACCCAGAATCCCAAAAGAGGATGAGGAGGGATCATGGAAGAGATAGCTCTGCTTTCCTGAGGACATTTCTTTTCTGTCCTCAAATTTGGGGAAAGCAGAAAAGTATCATCACAGGATTATCTATCCCAGGAAGAACTTACCTCATCAGTTCAGTCTAACAAACATTTACTGATGGCTTTCTGCATCCCAGACCCTAAGCCTGAATACAGAAACAGAGGGCAAACACCGAGCCTCAAAGAGCTTCCCCATCGGGTTCAAACCAAACCCATTGCCATCAAGTTGATTCCAACTTATAGCAACCCCCATTGGGTTTCCAAGGCAGTCAATCATTATGGCAGGGGATGCCCCATCTTCCTTCTGCAGAGCAGCTGGTGGGTTTAAACCGTCAACCTTCTGGTTAGTAGGCAAATAATGCCTTAGGCACTGTGCCACCAGAGCTCCTTATACCAGGTTGTTGTTGTTATGTGCTGTCGAGTTAGCCTCGACTCATAGCGACCCCTCCTTGGATTGCCGAGGCAGTATCACTACGGAAGTAGATTGCCCCATCTTCCTTCCGAGGAGTGGCTGGTGGGTTTGAACCACCAGCCTTCTGGTTAGCAGTCAAGTGCCTTAGGACAGCTAGAGACAGCTATATACATAGATAACTAAGAGGCAAGGGCCAAGGCTTCCAATGTGCACTACAGATGTCACCCAAATAAAGTGAAGTCAACATAAAAGAACCTTGGATTTATAGCAGATCATCCACTTCACAACACTTTGTTTTACAGGAGGATTAATCACAGAATTCTTCTAGATGAGACTTTGCCAATGAACTTAAGATAATTTGATTTACATACATTCAATTTTTGTACAGTGTTTGAGGAACATCTGCATTTATATACAGGCTGCAATGTGTAAATGCATGTTCCCATCTGCTGGAAAGCCTTAACTAGATAGTGAGTGCTCAAAGAAGTTACTTAGTTATATCTCCTATATTCCCTCCTTTTCTGTCACTGGATGGTTGGTAAAAGGGCCTGCCTGGTAGAACCCCACCTCCTCAGTGAGGATGCAACCATGGAGCAGTTCCCGTTACCTTTATCTCCTGTTGATGAGAAGAATCTCCTGGATCTCTGTCAAGCTTGCTACTTATATCTTCTCGGAGCTTCTGTAGGCAGCTCCTGGCCTAGGAAGGGAGCACAAGCAACTTTACCTTTGGGGTAGGGAAAGAGAACATGCCAACTCACCCACCTTCATACCCCATCCCCAACCTGTACCACTCTGAGTCAGCACTGTTGTAGGCACAGTCTGGGAACAGGAAGGACCCAGATCAAGTGGAGTTACAGCCCCAGTACCTCTTATGCAAGCAACAAAAAAATTACAAACCCTACCCTGGTGTAACTAACATTCTAGTTGGGGAAACAAGGACCAAGGAGTAGCATGAACCGGGGAGAAGGTTAGAAAACACCGGGAAAGGGTTGCTGCTGTTGAGTTGGCCCCAGTTGGAGGCAATCCCATACATAATGAGATTGGACATTGTGACCTATAGGGTTTTCCTAGGCTGATTTTGAGAAGTAAATTGTCTGTCTTCCTAGTCTATCTTGGTCTGGAATCTCCCCCGAAACCTGTTCAGCATCACAGCAATACACAAGCCTCCAATGACAGATGAACGGGGACTGCACCTGCGATGCACCGACCAGAAATCAAACCCGGTTCTCATCACGAAAAGCAAGAATTCTACCACTGAACCATCACTGCCCTCTAAAGATAGTACTGTTGTTATTGTTATGTGCCATTGAGTCGGCCCCGACTCATAGCGACCCCTCCTTGGGTTTCTGAGGCAGTATCATTACAGAAGTAGGATTGCCCAACCTTCCTTCTGGTATATGGTATTTAATAAGTATTTACTGGTTATCACATTACAACCAAAAGGTCAGAAATGATATTTGACACGTGGGAGAGCATGGTGCCACTTTGAAGAAATGAAGGGAATAGAAGGGAAAAGCTGGCACCCACAAAAGACAGGGGCCAAGTAAAAATATGAGGGTTAGAAGAATAATGTAGGCACTCCCACAGAGAAAGGGAGTGGTGCCCACCTCCTGAATGTACTGGACCTCACTCTTCAGCTGGTTAATATTCTTCTCATGGATCATCTTGTCTCCAGACCTTCCCTTCAAGTACACCTGAAATAGGGAAGACAACACTAGTTAAATTAATTCCACGCAAACAGGCAGCCTCATACTCTGCTGATGGGAAGGTAAATTGTTACCACCTTTCTGGATGGCAATCTGGTAATTCAGATCAGAAGACTTAAAAATTTATTCACTCTTTGACCTAGCAAATTTACTTCTGGAAATTTATTCTAATTAAATAAATTGAGCTAAAGGACTTAAGTGGCATAAATACTCATCCATACTCATAGAAAGGGGACTGGAAGAATATACTCCAAACCTGTCACTATGGTTCCTTCTGTGGAAGAAAGTTGTGGAATGGGGTTTTTGCATTTTGCTTCATATACCATCCTTGAATCTTTTACAATTGAGAAAATATTTCTGTATTATATAACACAGACTCACATGATTCAATAATACATAAGTTGAGCAAAATATTGCTTATGGTCACAAAAAACTGGAAACAAATGAAATATCCAACAATAGGGGTGTATCTATACAGTGAAGGAGTCCTGATGGCACAGTGACTACGTGGTCAGCTACTAACCAAAAAGTCAGAGGTTCAAACCTACCAGCCACTCTGAGGGAGAAAGATATGGCAGTCTGCTTCCACAAAGATTTACAACCTCGGAAACCCTGTAGGGCAGTTCTACTCTGTTCTATAGGGTGACTATGAGTCAGAATTGACTGGACAGCAATGTTTTGTTTTTTTTTGTATATCTATACAACAGAAGGCTTGTGGTTCAAACCCACCAACCACTCCTCGGAAGGAAGACCAGGCAATCTACTTCTGTAGAGATACCGCCTAGGAAACCCAAGGAGGTGTCACTATGAGTCAGAATTGACACGACGGCAGTGAGCTTGTTTTGGTTTTGGTATAAAACAGAATACTGGGCAGCCTTTAAAAATTCTAAATATTTACATTTATTGACAGTGAGGATGTTATACTATATCATTAAAGTGGGAAAAAAAGTAGATTGTAGAACAGAGTATGTAATATGATGGCATTTTGGAAAAAATGTCATGCATAAGAATGTGTCTGGGAGGATACCTAATGAAGTGTTAGCAGTGGTGGTTTTCATTTCTTCAAGAGGCAATACACCAACTTACAGTTTTTAAAAAATTAAGGGCATCCAAAGTGAAAAGTAAGAAGTAAAATTGCCTCTATTTGCAGGTAACATGATCTTGGATACAGCATTTCTTAAAGAATCCAATTAAAAAAATATTAGAATAATGCATTTAGCAAGGTTGCACCATATTTATTATAAATATACAAAAATTAGTCATATTGCTATACACTCGCAATGAATAACCCAAAACAAAGTTAAGAATACAAATCTATTTACAATGTTGTTGTTGTTGTGTGCCATCAAGTCGGACCTGACTCATAGTGACCCCTCCTTGGGTTTCTGAGGCAGCATCAAGTAGATTTCCCCATCTTCCTTCCAAGGAGTGGCTGGTGGGTTTGAACCGCCAGCCTTCTGTTTAGCAGTCAAGTTCCTTAGGCACTATGAGACCACAGTATTTGAAAAAGAATAAAATACTTAGGAGAATAGATTTAACAAAATAAGTACAAGACTTGTATACTAAAAACTGCAAAACAGTGTTGAAATAAATGAAAGAAGACCTAATTAAGTGAAAGACACCCTGTGTTAATGTATTGGAGGACTTAATATTGTTAAGATGGTAATGCTCTCCAAATTGATCTAAAAATTCCATACAATTTCTGTCAAAATTCAAATTAGCTTCTCTGCAGAAACTAACAAACTGACCCTAAAATTCATACAGAAATGCAAGGGACCTAAAAAGTCAAAATAATTTTGAAAAAGATGAACAAAATTAGAAGACTCATACTTCCTAATTTCATAACTTACTACAAAGCTACAGTAATCAAAACAATGGTACTGGCATAAACACAGACATACAGATAAACAGAATACAATTTAGAGTCTAGAAATAATAATAATTATTAGATTATTATATAATGTATTAATAATAGTAATGTTGTGTGTCATTGAGTCAACTCCAACTCATAGCAACCCTACAAGACAGAGTAGAACTGTCCCATAGAGTTTCCAAGGCTGTAATCTCTATGGAAGCAAGCCTTTCTCCTGTAGACCAACTAGTGGGTTCAAACCAGCAGCCTTTCAGTTAACAACCACATGCTTAACCACTGCTTCAACAGAACCCCTTATAACAATAATAAATATAATAACAATAATATGTTCAGTTGATTTTCCACAAGGGTGCCAAGGCAACTCAATGAGGAAAGAATAGTCTTTTCAAAAATGATGCTGGAACAAGTAGATATCCACATGCAAATGAATGGAGTTGGACCTCTGCCTCACACCATACACAAAAATAAACTCAAATAAAACAACAAATACTAGCAAAGGTGTGGAGACACTGAAACCCTCATACACTGCTGGTGGGACTGTAAAATCACGCAACCACTGAGGAAAACGATATGGATCTTCCTTAACAAGCTGGAAATACAAATACCATATGAACCACTACTAGGTATATATCCTAGAGAAATAAGAGCTATGACACAAACAGATATATGCACACCCACGTTCATTGCAACACTATTCACAATACCAAAAAGAGGGAAATAACCTAAATGCTCATCAATAGAGGAATGGATCAACAAACTATACTACATACACACAATGGAATACCATGCAGTGTTAAAAAGAACAATGATGATTCTGTGAAACATCTCATGACATGGATGAACCAAGGACAGTGTGCTGAGTGAAACTGGTCAATCACAAAAGGACAAAACAAATATTGTATGAGACCACTATTGTAAAAAGTCAAGAAAAGATTTTCACACAAAAAGAAGTATTATTTGATGGTTACCAGAGGTGGAAGGGGAAGAGAAGGGAAACCACTAACTAGAGGGTAGATACATATTAACTTGGGTGAAGGGGAAGGCAATAAACAATAAGGGGAAAGCCAGCAAAAATAAATAAGCTCAAAATGGATTATAGATCTATTTGTAAGAGTTAAAATTATAACTCTGAAGAAAAGACAGGAGTAAATATTTGTGATATTTCTCAGACAGGACACACACACACGCACACACAGAGAGAGACAAAAGGAAAATAGATATACATTAGAGCTTAATCAAAATTAAAAGCTTTGTGTTTCAAAGGACAGCATAAAGAAAGTGAAAAAACTATGGGGAGGAAGTGGGAGGGTAGCTGTTGCATTCTGGTAAACTGTAGTCAATGTCATAAGACAAAGTGTATGTGAACTGCTGTAATGGAAAGTGAATTTGCTCTGTAAACTTTCACCCAAATCACAATTTAAAAAAAAAAACTGAAGACAACTCACAGAATGGGAGAAAATATTTCCAAATCATATCTAGTATCAGAATATATAAAGAACTCTATCAACTCAACAATAAAAAACAAATAACCAAATTTTTTAATGGGCAAAGCCTTTCATTAAACATTTATCCAAAGGAAATACACAAATGGGCAATAAGCACATGAAAACATACTCAACACATCATTAGTCACTGGGGAAATGTAAATTAAAATCACACTGAGCTATCACCTCACACCTACTAAACCAACAACAAACCCACTGCCATTTAGTTGATTCCAACTCATAGTGACCCTACAGGACAGAATAGAACTGCCCCATAGGGTTTTCAAGGCTGTGAATCTTTACAGAAGCAGAATGCCTCATTTTTCTCTTGTGGAGGGGCTGGTTGTTTGAACTGCCTACTTTTGGTTAGCAGCCAAATGCTTTAACCACTAAGCCACCAGAGCTCCTTCACATCCAGTAGGCCTGCTGTGATTGAAAAAAAAAAACAAACAGAAATTAACAAGTATTGTCAAGGATGTGGAGAAACTGGAACCTTCATCCTCTGCTTTGTTGTTGTTGTTGTTGTTGTTGTTATGTGCTGCTGAGTAGGTGCTGGTGGGATTATAAAATGGTGCAACCACTGTGGAAAAGTTTGGTGATTCCTCAAAAGGTTAAATATAGAGTTACCATATGACCTAGCAATTCTATACCTAGGTATATACCAAGAGAACTGAAAACATATATTCACACAAAAAGTTGATACAAGAGGCGGGGCAAGATGGCGGACTAGGCAGAAGGATTGCACAGACCCTCTTCAACAAAGAAAAGGGAAACCAATTAACACAGACACAGAAGATAATCTT